TGTCCAAATAATTTTATTATTATTATTGAAAACATTTTTCAGGACCTCATGGTAGTGGGCTTTGATGTATGTCATGATACTGCAACAAGGGGCACGGATCAAGGTGCCATGGTGGCATCACTGGATAAAGCTATGTCCCGCTATTATAGTACCGTAACAGCCCACCGAAGTGGGGAAGAGCTCTCTACCAATTTAGCTGCAAGCATTGGCAGTAAGTGTCATTGAGTCCATTTACTTTTAATTTTTATTTAGAAAGGTATTTTTGGAGTCTGTGTTTTTTCCTACATAGGTGCTGTGAGAAAGTACAGAGAGGTAAATGGCAGACTGCCTGGACGCATAATTATTTATCGTGATGGTGTGGGTGAGGGACAGATTCCCTATGTAGCCACCACTGAACTAGAATGTATAAAGGTTGCTCTTAACAACCTTTACAATGGGCAAGAGATGAAAATGACCTTCGTCATTGTAACTAAAAGGATTAATACAAGAATATTCACTGATAAAAGAATGAATGCTCCACCTGGTTCTGTGGTCGACGATGTGATCACTGACCCAGAGAAGTAAGTACTCTTTTACTTGCCATCTATTATCTGCTCATCGTCCCTGTGTTTCAATATTGCATTAAATTTTTCCTCCCTAGATACGACTTTTTCCTGGTGTCACAGAGTGTGGGCCAGGGAACAGTCAGCCCTACCTCATACAATGTGATCTATGACACAATGGGCCTGCCTGCTGAAAGGTTGCAAAGACTGACTTATAAATTGTGTTACTTGTACTTCAACTGGAATGTCAGTATTTAATCTGCACATCAAAAAATTTCTCTGTGGCTCTTTTTCTGTTATTAATCTACTTGATTCTTTCTAGGGCACTGTACGGGTACCAGCTCCATGCCAATATGCTCATAAATTGGCATTTTTAGTTGGACAATCAATCCATAGGCCAATCCATGGGGGCCTAGAAGATCTCTTGTATTTCTTGTAGACTTACTAATTTTGTCTATTTTTCTTTTCATAACTTTTATTCAAAATGTTATTTTTTATTTATATACAATGTTAAATTTTATGATGTAATCTTTTTCTCAAACAATGGAAGGGTCCTGAATGCAGATGATACAAATTTGAGACCAGTGTCTTGTTCTACTACTCTGTCTGGAAATGTTCAGCAGGGTCCAAAAATAATTCCTGCTAAATTTTCATGGGCAATGGCCCATAAGTAAATGTCTCATTAAAAGATCAATTTTATTTTCAAAAATCTGCATCTGCTAGGCCTTGCAACCCTAACAAGGGAACCCCGCCAAGTGTAAATTCCCGATTTTCATTCTACTTTGGGAAATTGTTGGTCTAAATGTGTCCTCGAAGGACACATCAAAATTTTTTGCTCAAATTCAAATTTAGGGGTTATTTTGGGCAGTCGTTCCAAAAGCTGCTATTTCAACAATATTTCATAATTTTCAAGCATATTTCCCAAGGGATGAATCGTTGAAAGTTGCGCTCCATTGTTCGAAAATTTCGTCCGTTTTGCTCTATTTGAAGCCGTTTAGGCGCTACCGCCACGTTAAGGAGGGGAAATGTACAGGAATCACTAGGGCTTAAGAGCAGTGGTTGTAAAAAGCAGTCCGACAAAAAATGTTATAAAACAAAAGTTGTAGAAAAATGTAAGCTCTTTAACTTTTGTTCTATGACAGTTTTTGTTTATTACACTTATCTAACAATGTACCCAAAATCTGCCATCCATTACAATGTTAATTGGAACTGTTCATTTCTTTTTTGTGCTGTACAGGTCTGGGTGGCCAAGGTTGCTAGGAGATTATTGTCGAAGATTATTGTATATTGCCAGGTTGGATGTACACCAGATTGCTAGAGTTGTGTGTGGCCCCCTCAACCCTTACGTACTACATACATAGTGACTTGATCCATGTGCCTCTCTACTTTTTACTCAACAATTCAAGCTGGATGACACATTGAATTATAATGTGTTTAATTTTAATGTTCAATTTACTCCATCTGCTAAAAAGTTGCTGTAATTTTTTGTTGGGAATTCATTTTATTATTTAATGAG